TGGTCGTGTCCAAGAATCTTCTCACACCCCTCTAGTGCACGCCTATTCATTGCCTCCGATTCACCGTACTTTCCTTGGGATTCTAGCACACTGGCCAGGTTTCTGACACTTGTTAGGGTGTCCGGGTGGGCTGGTCCAAGAATCTTCTCGCGCCCCTCCAGTGCACGCCGATTCACCGCCTCCGATTCATTGTACTTTCCGCGGTGCCGAAGTGCTAAAGCCAGGCAGTCGAAAGCCTCCAGGACGATGGGATTGTTTGGGCCCAATGATCCCTCAATATCCTTCAACAAACTCCGAAGTATGTTCTCGGCCACATCTGCCTTTCCCTGATATGTGCTTACCATCCCTAGGAGCGTGACCCTTCTTGCACCTTCCTCATCCCTGTCATACTCTTTACTCTCCTCCCACAGTGCGATACATCGATGCAATTGAGCTTCTGCGTCGTTGTAGAAACCCATATGCATAAAGTACCGTCCCAGGCGAAAACAAAGCTCTTCGGCAATAGGATCCGTAGAATATTCGGTAACTGCAAGTACATGTGGAATGTATTCAGAACCTATATATCTCCACGTGCTCCAATTCCGGGGGAACAAGCTTGAAACAACTCCCAGCGCAGTAGTCCTCCATTGGTTCAACTCCTCTGTTGGTAAATACACGTGCAAGGACAGTTGAACCAAACGATGAACCTCATAAAACGTCTTGTTATGAGTTTTGACAGTCGTGACCAGCGAAAATCCCAATAGTTTTCCAATGGCCTGGCGAAACTCGATTGGATCATCCGTCCCTTCCAAACCGCTTTGATTCAATAGCTCCTCGGGGATGTTCTGACGATCGAAGAAGGCAATTAAACGTAGAAGTTCTGCGGCTAGGCGCATTTGCTGTGTGATTCGGTCAAAGGTGACAAAGTACGTAGCTAGGATGCCTTCGGTCATATCCGCCTCTCGTTGGATATCGTAAAACGGCTGTGAAAGTAGTCTTCTGGCTTGTTCGTCGCCCCCCCGAAAAATTGACCAGTAAGCGGATGGTGATGTCTGAGTTTCTGTCATGAATGCTGCCGCTCCCACGATAGCTAGCGGGATGTGATGCATAGAGTCCAGGATCAATGCGATCGCCTCTTTTTCTTCATCTCTCACATTGTTCAATCTACCAAGGCGTCTCGAGAACAAGTCCTCGGCTTCCTCCTCGCCCATTTTTCCGACATCGATCCTTTCGCAATCCTGCCAGGATGCAACCCGGAGTGATCTGGTGGTAAATATTAGGGTGCCCCTTTGGCTTTGTGGCACAAATTTGGAGATTGGACCGCTGTTGCCCTTAAAGTCCTCCTCATTGTCGGCGTTGTCAATAACCAATATCCAATCGCCACTGTCTGGACCTTCAAACCATCTCCTTATATTTAATAGGAATCCCTCTTGGTCTGCATCAACGGTGGCCAGTGGGATTCGGACATGCCGCGCAATAGCTCTGAAACCCTCACAGAATTTTTGTACCCCACTCCCATGCACCCAGAAAACATCACAATCGCTCTCGCTTGCGCACTGATAAACGTATTCGAGAGCAATCTGAGTTTTTCTGAGTAATTTCAGTAAACTCCCGAAATAGTAGTAGCAATAATGAATACATACCCAGAGCCGCCGAGTCCATGAAGTGCGATCCGGTTGTGGCCGTTACGCGCGGAAAGACTCTTTATCGACTCAATATGATCTTTACGGCCAGTAAACTTGCTATTCCTGCAATAGGGAATTATCCGACAAGGCCCGGATGCTTGTTCTGGCCGTAATGGCACATTAGATCTTTACTGGAGGTCTCTTGGGGAAGGTGATAATACCTCTGTCCCTGGCTCTGGGAACATACCCTCGATATATCTGACCAAGATTGATGATGGTATTCAGGTTTCTCGTGTTTGTGTTACTATTATTATTATTATTATTATTACCAAAGACATTACTATCCCCAGAATTCCCGCTGAAGTTTCCACTATTCTTGGCCTGCGTTTTTCTGAAAAGATTGTGAGGCTTTGTACTTATTATTTTTGAAATCAGGGACATCAAAAAGAAGGGGAGCCCACCGATCCATCAAATGCTCGCGTATTTAACTAACAGTTGGGGCGTTTTCGAAGTTCGAGTAGGGGAGGTAACCAGATGTCGCTATAGGATCTGAAACGGGCAAGAATGCCTCTTTGTCGCTAACCGAGGTAACTTACCGTATGTATGATGGTTCAAAATCGTTTCGCGCGAGCCGGGGGGATTCCGCGGTTCGTGGGTACGGCCACAACGGGAAGCGGGCTGGCAGGACTCAATCTTGGATAATGAGATGAATAGTTCCGTGGTTTTGACGCTGCTATGCCATGTACTCCTATCGCGGGGTATTCGAATTTGATGAAGACGGGATATTTGGCATAAGGGAACAGGATGGGTATGATACCAGAACGACAGGCTCTAGGGGCAGTTACGAAGGGGATTCAGTCTCAGAAGGTGGGGAAGATGGCAGAAAAAAGGAAACAAGACTGCACCGCCACACGATGGCTTGGCTTGCTGGTGGTCCGGGAAATTTCCTGCATAGTTGGTTAGCTGGTTGGACTCTGGTGGCGCTCAAGGTATTGACCGTCGGTCTCGTTACGCCGGCGGATAGATGAGATGATATGTCGACAACAACCCCCAAACTGCATCCCATCGGCGAACGTGCGTTTAGGAATACCGGTGCCCGAGCAACTGAAGTCTTTGAGAATACCAATTTCAGCCCACTAAATGATGCCGATACACGAATAAGTTAGAGTTGTTGAGCCCACCGCTGGAAGAAACCTTCGCCTCTTCCCAGCTTCTTTTCCCAATAAAGGGCGGCCCTCTCTTCATGGCGAAAGAAGCACATAATCTTACCCGAAAAATCAATCAGACACCAAGCGCCCGAGCTGGCCCCGACCCCTACGGCTGCGAAAAAGATTTACACAATACCCCTACATCGTAGCGACCATATGATAGCTATAATTTCATGGGGGCCATGAAAAACAGCCGACTTGGATTAGGCACGAACAAGGGCGGTGGATGCATCTGGGGGAATCCCCAATGGAAATAGGACAAGCAATATCGGAGGTCGCACAAGGCTGCCATGTTTAGGGTATCCGTGCAATATCTTGGCAATCTTGGCTGTCTGGCGTTTCCCCATTCCTTCGACGTTCGTCGTCACGCCGCACTACCACACATACTACCGGTAAAACCCCGCAGGCGAACCGCCAATCCGCCCCGTTCAACATTCCCACGGTCCTGTCAAATGGGTTCCTGGCCCGTCGAGCCGAGCTCAGGGAAAGCCGTCTCCAGCTTGTTACGGGGGAAGAGCTTCGGCAGTGCGGTGACTAAGAAATGTCGCAGTGGTATGGTGAGCGATATAGGTGTGTATTGGAGCGGGCGTGCGGAATGGGCGCGATAGAAAACAGCGTTGTCTTGTTTGTCTCCACTACTCAAACTAATGGCAAAGATAACTTGATATGTGAAACAGAAACGAAGCCCCCCCATCCTTCCGTGCGTCTCTACGCGCATCTTTCTTCCTCGGTGCATGCCCATGTTCCTCCGTACACTCCCCTAATACTAAAGGAAAGGCATATTCAGGGAAGCCACATCACAAATCACCGAACCCCCGGAAAAATCCATATCACTCACAAACAATCCGCTATAAACCCCTCACTTCCAAAAACATTCACAAAACCCCATAGCTATTCTATAACCGCTATTAGAACTCTTTTCCTTGGCGTCAACTATTCCTATTACATTGGATACCCATATCTCCTGAGGACCAGCTGCGTGTCACTCTTAAACGCATTGAGCAATTGGACCACGACACCCCACGATGCAGCCGAGTTCCCGCCCGGGTCCTTCCTTCGGTGAATTAGTGGATGAATGACTACTAGGTGTGGGCTGTAGGGAAGACCGGAAGTGTAAGCGTATGTCCTCACGTAAATGGCCGTGTCCCGCCGGGTGGTCAGGATAGGGAGAGGGAAAAATGTTTTTTTTTTCGATATGGAATTACTAGGACAAGGTGCGCTTGAGGTAACCACGTGGTAGGGATGGTGTGAAGAGGGAACGTTCTGTGAATTCGTGATTCATGATGATACTAACGTGGCAGGAAGAAAACAGTTAGATAATCAAATAATGATAACTGATAACGTCCAAGTAATACATTTCCGGGAATATACTGTGCTATATGAAATTTCCCACTATCGAGAACTCCTCTCAATGCTTCGAACTTGCCGTAATGTTCCGTCCCGTCCACTTCCCCGCATGTCCCGGGCATGGGCATCACAAGGGCCGATATACGTGAATATATGGACACCAAGGGGCACCCGCAGACATCCGCAGGGACCCAAAGATATTTGCAAGAGTCTCAAGATGTCCACCGATATCCGGGGGTATACTCGGATATCTGTAGGCATCTGCAACTATTTGCAGGAATCTCTGGGTGTCTGCTCTGCATTGGCAAGATATTTGCTAACTACACAACACATACCGATTGCCTGCTAATGCCCCTAGGCACTCCGGAGGTGGAAGGTTGGCTCGGGCTGCTTCACAATACCCATATTTGTGAATCCTATACCTGACCGCTTTCTTAGGGTTTCTTGACGTTACTGGAAGTTTCTGGGGGGCGAAAGTCCCTTTTGGGGGAGGTGGGACAGAAGTGTCCATAACGGACCTTTTCTCCCGTGTTCTCTCTTCACAGGAACACCGAGAACCGAACCTTGAACGCGAACAAGCATCGAACTACGAACTACGAACGTGAAACGGGAGTCTAGCCAATCTTGCGACAACTACAAAGACTACGGTGAAAGGAGCAGAGGGAGGAAAGACCATGCTATTTGGGGGTGGAGGAATTGTGATTTAAGAGCAGCCAAAGGACCGTGCTGTTTTTCTGCTTCTCCATCCGTGTATGTGTCTACTTTATTTTCCCTTTCGAGTGCAGCAAGCAAAGCTTCTTCTCTGCCCCCTCCCCCAGCCTCCCACCCAGCCCAAAATTGCCATCTTTAGCACCCACAATTCCGGGCTTACGAAAGCCCAGGTTAATCTCCCTTTGACCTCGCCTGGGCAGACTGTGTTTCTGTCCGATGTCTATAACCCGCTCTGGCCGCCTGCAAACACTGCTCTGGAGTTGCTTCGTTTCTCATCTTCTCTTCTTTCCGTTCCCCTCTCTTCACTTTTGTCCTTCTTCATTTCATTTTTCTTCTCTCTTCTATTCTCCTCGCTACTTCTCATGTCTTCCCAATAGTCCTTTTCTCCCTCGAACTGCCTCTCACTTCCCGAGACTTCAGACCTCCCTTCCATATTCCTCTTGAAGAGATATTGGGCTAAAGTTACCACACATTTACCTGTAAATGGAGTCTGCACCTCTGATATCTTAAACGAGAGAAATAAAGGGAACAGCTACAAACATCACAAGTAATGAGTTAAATCTGTGTGTTGTAATAGACAACTCAGCGCCGACGTTTGGCAACACACTAGACAACGAATGGCCCATTATGTCTAACCCTCCGTACTGTGCCAAGTGTCACACGAGCATAGCCAGCTTGGTGACACCTGCTGGGGTACTAAACCTCCATTTAACGTCTCAGAATGTAAGGTCGCACAGGGCCTAGGAGACAGGCAGTGGGGGGGGGTAGGTGGGTAACTCTGACTGTATTTAGGCATTTATCATATGATCCCCGTTTGAAATAAAATTAAACGAGTGACTTCTCATGATTTGAGGAGTGGAGAAGTTGAGCGCAAGGAGCTTATCGGGTGAGAAAGCTTAACACAGATTTTCCTATCGTCGAAAGAGAAAAAGAATGATAGAAATTGAGATACCAAAATGAAAAGAAAAATACCCAACACTTTCCCCCGTACTATACTTCATTCAAAAGCTGGCCATTCATGGCCTCTCTCTCGTTTGTCATTCACCGTAGCCCTCCACGCTCTGCAGTTGCTACCCACGAAAATTTCTATGGTCTCTCCAGCTGGTTGGAACTACCACTGTCACTTCTAATCGAGTCTATTCCCATGGGTAGCCAATAGGAGAGGGATGAGAACTGTCAAAAGAGAAGATAATATAGCGGTTTTTTTTTTCTGTCCTATGACGCTCTGGTACCTTTTTTTTTCTTTGCTATCCATCTACCGGACACAGTGGTGGTTTATATTGAAAAATATCCCCCTCACTCCTCACGAAGAGAAAGTTTCTCCCTGACTCCTTTACTTCCGGCTATCGGTCCGGCTCCTTTCTAACTATATGCCCCGGTCAGCGATGCTAAGGTAATAACATTGGATTGAACTCCTTCTTTACAAAAAATACGATATCTTGCAAGTCACTGTCGCACGAGAGATACGATATGAAGGTAGCAATACCAATTGTTTTCAAATTCGTATTTCAAGCGTCTCGAACGAACTATAGCCTAAAGGAAATCTCCTTCGTATTTATAGAAAATGATGTGAACCGGCCTGAAATCAACAATATACCCCTTGTATCCCCAAAACAGCTTATCAGGAAAGAAAAAAGGGGGACTAATTAATAAAATGACCATGTTTCAACACTCCTTTAACTCGCGTTAGTGCCGCCAAACCCCGAATGACTAGATCACGAGTAAGCAAAGTTCTCTTGCTCCTCACGGCCTGCAGAGATCTGGGCTGAGAGGCCACGAACCTACAAGAAATGCCAGCCAACTGCCTTCCGCTACCATATACCCTCCGGACAAGATAAAAATAGACGAAACACGAAAGAAATATCGGGAAAGACTAAAAAACTGAAAGCCCGGGGACCACAGAACTCCCGAAAATATTCCTGCGAACACCGGTGATGTTCAATTCAGCCAAATTTCCTGCGGGGTGGTGGGTCACTATGTCGAGTTGTCACCCCTGCGGAAGACCACTCTCCGCCGCAAATTATCGACGAGACGACGAGCAAATTATCGCCGCGTATCCACTGGGTTTCCTGAAAGTGTCTGCCCTGCACGTCGCTCAACCATCACTGAATAGCTACCCTCTCCTTGGAGTCGTAGCACCGCCGCTAGGTTACTAACACTTGTTAGGGTGTCTGGGTGGTCTAGTCCAAGAATATTCTCGTGCCCCTCCAATGCACGCCGATTCATCGCCTCTGATTCATCGAATTTTTCTTGGGATTGTAGGACAATAGCTAGGTTGTTGACACTTGTTAGGGTGTCTGGGTGGTCAGGTCCAAGGATCTTCTCGCAACCCTCCAGCTCTCGCCGGTACATCGCTTCCGATTCATCGTACTTTTC